TACAACTATTTTATTTTATTTCAGTAGTAGATAACTTGACAAATTTGGCAACATTAGGCACCGACTCATCAAAAATGGCAGACGTACCGACCGATATTGAATTCCCCGTTTGGGGATTAATGCCGAAAAAAGAGACTGGAGTGGTGTCATTTCTTAATAAAAATCCAGAATACGATGGCAGGGGTACAATTATTGCAATTTTCGATTCGGGCGTGGACCCGGCAGTGGAAGGTCTTAAGGTAAAAAATGTCTTGTCATGAACTTGTTTGGATTTAGTTTTTTGCGATTCTTTATAAGTTTTCTGTATTTAGGTGACGAGCACGGGTGAAACCAAGCTTATAGAGAGGATTGACTGCAGCGGGTGTGGAGATGTCGACACTAGTGCAGTGCGTAAGGCTGTGGACGGCTGCATTACCGGTCTAACTGGGCGCAAGCTAAAGGTAAATTTCGCTAATTCTGTTTAAATAAACACACCTCCAATTTTTATTAACTCTCTTCTAACTCATAAACACATATGTGTGCTCATATTTGGTTCGTTTTGCTCATTGTAGGTTATGTTGGATCAGCTGTTTTTACAAAAATAAATATATCTAAATATACTTACATATCATTTGTTGATACAAATTCAACTATAAACAACTCCAATAAGTTATATGCCATACTATCACTAAAAGTTTTGCACAAATAGGCAAAAAGAATGGCATCCATAAGCACTTGGAAAGTTTTTAATGACAATGTTTTAAACAGATACCAGAATCATGGAAAAACCCTACAGGCACCTGGAGAGTGGGTGTCCTATACCCATACAGTTTGTACCCGAGCAAGTTGAGAGAGCGGGTGCAGGAGCACCGCAAGCTTCACATATGGGATGTGGGACATAAACCGGCAGTTGCTGCTGCCAATAAGCAGTTGCATGAGTTTGAAGCAGAACTTGGTAATTTAGTTGTTTACCTTGTACTAGAGAAGCTCACTTGAGAACACTGTCTACATCTCCCCCACATTGGCTACTCCATTTGTTTGCCATCAGAGTCATTGTGAAATCAAATAACAATTTAGTGTTTTAGTTACAAACAGTTCTCTCTACATTCATATTTTTTAGTGTTCTAGAACATGAATGATCAATCAGTCAATGCTTGAATTATATAAATCGAAATTATGAAATTAGAATTATATATATATTTTTTTAAATTATCTATAATTGTCAACATACTACAAGTAAATTTTTTGAATGATTTATGTTTGAGAGCGAAGAAGCCACCACTTCAGTCTCTCTTAGTCATGAAACACCTACAATTGTCTTAATCTCTTGATGTTCCCACTGTCAACCAGTGCTTATGGGGAGAATTCGGATGAGTATTCAGCTGAGCCCTGTGTTTATGTCTAACAATATATTTAAATGTTTTTTGTGACAACTGCAGTGTAAAAGCTCTTTCAAATATTATTTTTTGGACAAAACTGCTGCAATTTGCAACTCAGTGATTATGTTTATTTGTCAATAGCATCAAAAGGTTCAAACCTGAGTCCAGAAGAGAAGCAGCAAAAGGAAGAGCTGGAAGCCAGAGTAGAAGCACTCACAAATGCTGAGAAGAAGTTCACAGATTTAGGTCCCACATATGACTGTGTGCTATTCCATGATGGCACTGTTTGGAGGTGAGGCTATATATAAATATGAACCATTAAAAGTAAAATATTGAACACTTGTGCTGCATGAATCCTGCATGGATTCAAATTGAACTTACCTTTACCTTTATACCTTTTAAATTTTGAGCATTGAATGCTAAATATAGTGTGCACTAAAAGAAAATGAATGAAAACTTTGATCAAAATTCAACTTTGGTCAACTTTTATAGATAATCCGAGTAGTGCTTGTTAACTCTGCAAGTAAGTCTTAAATGATTCGAACATGTGTGACAAAAAAAGAAAACTTTGTAAAGGTAAAAACAATTATCGTAATGTAAGGTTGTACCAAGTTGATGTTCAAAGATGTTATTATAATTGCTACTTTATATCTTATTCTTATTTACAAATATAAATGTTACTATTTTATGTTCTTACTATTTTTTCCATTAAATGTTTCTTTTCTCAAACATGCATTATTTTGTTTTGTTACAAGTATATATTATATTTGTTAACAAAGAGCTCTGTAAACAGATAAAAAAAAACTGTTACAACTAACTGCTCATAAGCATCTGTAGTCTGTAATTGCGAAAATGAAAAAAAAAGTCTGCTATTACTTGACTTACGTTTAAATAGGGTGCACGAATATACCTGCATCATACTGAAAAAAAGGCGGTAAAATAAACGAAAGTGTGTACTTCGGAGGTTTTTTTGTTTTTCTTCGCGAAAATAAGTTCTAGTGAGAAGATGGACGGTTCTCCCGTCTAATTTAAAACGAGAGTCAAAATGTGTCATGGAAAACTTGTTTCACCTATTCTATTATACGTTCTCCGTAATTGAAATATCTAGCCGTCAATTATTTGCTCGCTCTGCTTGAGAGAAGCACTATACACGCCTCGGCGGGAACGGACTGCCTGACCCGCACTCGTCCCCCAGAGCCTGCATCGACACGTCGGAGGCGGGCGAGCTGCTGGCCGGCGTGTGCCTGGGCGAGTACAGCGCCACGCACGAGCACTCGCACCTCACGGCGCTGGACGAGATGACCGTCAGCGTCAACGTGCACGAGGACGGCAGCGTGCTGGAGGTCGTGGGCCTGTGCTGTGAGTGTTTGTGCATGATCATTGCGCAGGGACCGTCTTTCTTGATGCTTTTAGTTCTTGAGTGGCTGAATGGAGAAAGCTATGGATATATGTAGAGAGTTGGAAGGAGAATTTGTTACGATTTTTTTTTAAGCCTGCACTGTTGTCCCACTGCTGTGTAAAGGCCTCCCTCAGTTAAAAATACTTATCCAACGAAACCCGACTCGATATCTGTGTGTTGATGGAGAAACACGCTTCCATACTTCCATACATAACTGCCTCCGTGGCCGAACGGTTACCATGCCGGACTGCCACGCAGAGGTCCCAGGTTCGATTCCCGGGCCGGGAGAAATGTTTGTATGGCTTGCATTTATTTCTCTCGTGAGTTTGGGTGTAATTTGTGGTTGTCTATGTGTGTGTCCATGGCACCCGCGACACAGGGGCTATGTTGAGTGTGTGCGTTATTATTATTATTATTATTATTATACTCAATTTAAACTTAATCGGTGCAAAATAGTGTAGATGGACAGACTTGAGGAAACTTGTGTGAGGTAGGTAGAGAGAAATTCGTAGCACGATATTTCCCTTTTAGAAATAAAATCTACTCTCTTGCTGTAGATAAGCTCATAGTCCCCTGACATTTATTATGGAACACAGTACAGAAAATTTCCTTGAAATATGTCTCTGCTAACAATTGAATGTGGCAAAAAATGAAAGTTTTGCGAAACTTTGTGATTTTTTAGTCAAGGGAAATTTAGTTAATCGTATTTCGAGCCCCAATCGTTTATTATCATTACTAATTAAAAAAAAATGGATTTTGTATTGTTTAATATCGAAAAACTGATTTTCCGTGTGGTCGAAATATTTTGGGTCCACTTCACTATAAAAGGAAGCTTTATTAGTCATCGTTTTTAATAGCAGTAGAGCTCCTTGTGAAAAAGTTCGTGCAGGGAACCTCTACCTATTTCTGTCCGCATTACTGTGTTCCGGTTTTGAAGGGTAAGGGTGCTGGTGAAATTACAGGCACATGGGACTTGTCATCTTATGTCTCAAGGTGACGGGCGCAGTGGTAGTGCCCCTCAGATTTTTGCAATTTAAAGATCTAAGTGGCACTGTATCTGGTATGGACAGGCGTGTAGCTTGCCATCAGGGTCACGGCTTGCTAGTCCCTAAAAAATCGGTTATCTGCCTGTTTAATATGAGAACTTTGGATTGAAGCAACGCACGGCACACACGTGGCCTGCATCGCCGCGGGCCATTTCCCCGACGAGCCCGACAAGAACGGCGTGGCGCCCGGCGCGCAGCTCGTCTCGCTCACCATCGGCGACAGCCGCCTGGGCTCCATGGAGACCGGCACCGCCTTGGTCAGGGCCTGCATCAAGGTCATGGAGCTGTCCAAGAAGATGAAGATCGACGTCATTAACATGAGCTACGGGGAGCACGCGCATTGGTCGAATGCCGGGTAAGTTATATTTTTAACTGTCACTTGTTTCGTGCTCATTCCAATTTAAATTCAGAAATTGAATAGATAAGTAATAGGAATATGTGTCGATCATTGACTTACAAATAAATGGACGACGGGTCTAATACAAAAACCACGAAAAAAATGTCCCAAGTCAACCTATTTAAACGTAGTGACATGTAAAGGAATATGAAAAAGCTAAAACGTTGAATTTAAATTGTAATGTCATCGCAGTACTGTCTAATTTTGCTTGCTTCGCTGTCAGTCGAACAAACGAAGACTAAAGCGTGAATGACGCCCTATATACGATTTTAACGCCCTATAAGTTCGGACACTTTTTAGCGCGGACCCGACGTCCATATAATTGTAAGTCAATGGTGTCGATACAATGTAACTTTAGTTTGATGTTCCCTTTAACACGTTGTTGTATAACATTTTAGACGTAACTGACAATTTTGAAGAAAAATGTGTCGCTATCATCGCCATCCATGGACTAATAAATAATTCAACAGGACTGCTAACAGCGGTTCAAGACAGCATACAGGCCTACCGCTTAACCGAGTCGGTTCCTGAGGTAGCTGCGCGGTGCGGGAGGAGTGACAGTTTACCTAACAGTTATGTCGCGCTGCACACTACATAATTTTAACAAGATTTTTCAGACTCAATAACAAGTTAACTGAAAAAGAGCCAAATGGCTTGTCTATTTATTTTAATTATCAATGAAATAGTTTTTTTTTACTGTCGTTTGACACAACAACAATTGACTAATACTGTAGGCACCGTTTTCAATCAACTTGTTATTGAATATTGCTAGAAAAATCTTGTCGAAATTGTCCCGTGTGCCGCGAGATATAACTGTTACGTAAACTGTCACTCCTCCCGCACCGCGCAGCTACCTCAGGAACCGACTCGGTTAAGCGGTAGGCCTGTAGTCGGGTATTAAGTAATAATAATAATAACATAATAATAACACACACACTCAACATAGCCCCGCACTAGGGAAACCCAGTGTCGCGGGTGCCATGGACACACATATAGACAACCACAAATTACACCCAAACTCACGAGAGAAACAAATGTAGGTCATACAAATATTTCTCCCGGCCCGGGAATCGAACCTGGAACCTCTGCGTGGCAGTCCGGCATGGTAACCGTTCGGCCACAGAGGCAGTTATGTTACCTATTGGTACACAAGATGTCGCAATTAGCTGTTTTTGTAAATAATTCACGAACTACAATTTATCAAAATTACTCTAATTCCTAGTGATAACAAACAAATTAACTGAGATGGCGAATATTGCATATTTTTTATGGGTACTACCGGCATTTTATTTTGGTTGTTATTATATGCCACCGATAAATGCAATCGGCAAAGATAAAACTTGGTAACTTTATATTCGAAGATGTTTTGTTTAAAACATCGCTATTTTCACTACGCGCACATAATACGAAAGCGTGTGCGTGCGTACGATCAGAGCGCCTGATCGAACTGATAAAAATTTTATTAAGTACTATAGAAAGTATGTTATTTTGCTTATTCCTTTGAAAAAGTATTTATATAACGGATTTTGAAAAAATGAACACCGTTATACAAGTTCGTTCCATGGTCGCGCTCGCGACGCGGACACTTTTTCATCGGCGCCCCTATCTAGCCCATAATAGCAAGCGTTAATTTATGAATTAGTTTGTAACACACAATGCCATCTATTGGCACGCATATTTGTCAAATTTCAATAAAATAATTTTAGCTCATGGCCAACATTTGAATAATAATACAATGAAAAAACTGACTACTTACATTTCATATTAAAGATGAATTAATTGTTATCCACGGCCATTTACGTAGCACAAACTACTTCCAGGCTACCAATCCGCGGCGTCTAGATATAAGGGCCTTCACAGCGCCGCGGACTGTTCGCGCGCGCACGAGCGACCGAAGTCTGTCGCGGACGAATTGTCGTTCAGTTCCTCGCAGATCGTGTTTGGGCACGGTACAGTTATAAATAAAAATTTGAAAGTGCTCATTGCCACCTATTTTCTAACTAAAACACGGCGCCATGGTAAAAGAAGGTTTAATGTGCAACCAATCGTGTCGAAAAGTTTTTTTTAAAGAAGAAATTGTATCTTTGTTTTCGGAATTGCAGGAAGATGAAATTTAAAATTGTTTTTGTAATAATCGTCGCGGGGATTCCACAGACATGGTCGAAGTCTCCTCTCCTCCTTTCGGTTTCAATTGACGGTTTCCGTCTGCGTGCGGGTACCTCTCCGCGACCACGTCGCACTGAATGTGCAGTATACATATAATACATTTTACCATCCGCGACAGACGGTCGCGTAGGTCATCCGCGTCTCACGTGAGGGCCCTAAGATGGCAAAAAGCCTTTTTCAGAGTTATGATCTGCAGTATGGAGATTAGCAGTCCTCTGCAGTCATCGGTCCATGGTGCCGCGTATAGTAGCGTAATTCGATTCAGAATTCCACGATTTGTGTAGTGATATAAAAGTATATATTCGTCAAAATTGGAAGCTACACTCGTTAGTGTTGCTACATCGATATTGTCTACAGCATCGATATTAACAAGTTCCAAACTTTAAAACTTAACGACGACATGAATCATTACAATTATTTCGTTTTTGAGCCTTATTCGTCCGCACAAATGTGGTCGAGCGCCATCGGTCTCGTGAGTGATATCGGTGGCGTTGAGAAACCCTCGGTTGGCAGACGCATAGGTGACCTAATCTGCGAGGTGGTGAACCGCTACAACGTGAACTGGGTGGTGTCTGCGGGCAACCACGGTCCGGCGCTGTGCACTGTGGGCGCGCCGCCCGACATCAAACAGACTGTGCTCATCGGTGAGTTTCAGAACTCATAAAGTTTGTCATTTGGGAGGCGTGCAACCCTTTTGGCCTGAATAAGTATGTTAATCTATTTCTGTCCACTGCTTTAAACATTTAAATATCTCTGCTAACAAAGAGCTGTGTAAACAATCTAAAGAAGAATTGTCATACAGCCAACTGCTCACTGGCGCAGCGAGAGTGATACCTAATTGCGAGTATTTTTTTGGTGCATCTATACTATATGAGTACTACACAACAGAACGAGAATAAAGTCACGGAAAACTTGTTTACTTTTCCATTATGCATTCTACTATTTGTTCGCATTGTTTGAGAAAAGCACTAGAGACGCCTCGGCGCTCAGTCGCGCAACTCCGCAGTAACGCGCGGGAAGCACAGTTCGTTGAACGCCGAACGGCGTGTGCGCAGGCGTGGGCGCGTACGTGTCGCCGGCCATGATGGCGGCGGCGTACTCCATGCGCGCGCGCGTGGCGGGCACGGCCTTCAGCTGGAGCTCGCGCGGGCCCGCGCCCGACGGCGCGCTGGGGCTCAGCGTGGCCGCGCCCGGCGGCGCCGTCACGTCCGTGGCCAGGTACGAGCCCCGCCCTCCCCGCCCCGCGCCCGCGCCCCGCCCGCTCACCGCCGCCGCTGTTGCAGGTTCACGCTGCGGCACACGCAGCTGCTCAACGGGACGTCCATGGCGGCGCCGCACGCCGCGGGCGTGGTCTGTGAGTACGCTCCTTGCCCTGCGGTCCGGCCGGGCACCCGGCTGTTGCCGGTTCGTGTCCGGCCGAACCGAAGGAACTTTTCTTAGTATTTGTTCGGCCTCTGTATCAGTGAACACTAAAAACCAAGATATTCAATCAAATAAACATTTCGAAAAGAATTCAACAAACACGATTTCTACTCTCGATCTTTAATCAGAAACCAACCGAGAGCATACCACAGATGACCGCATTTAGTAAGAACAAATCTATGAACGACGTTGACTTAAATGTAGGAAAAACTTTACCAATTTAACTTTCTACTTGTCTACATCAAAAACTACATCGAATGAGATGAATAAAAAATTGTACCCATGCCTATACCACCTATTTACTTTACCTTCTGTCTGCCTGTCCATAGATGAACCTACTTATTCACTTCTGTTTCAATTAATTAGCTCTTTACCATGACGCAGGTGAAAGGGTGTAATTGGCCCTACTGCGTCATGATGATGTAAAGTAGAAATAAGTGAGTCGTTAGTTGGTGATTTACTTTATCGACTGATATATTTTGTGAAACTTATACTATATGATACGTATTGTTACTACTATCTTTTGCTTGCACTAAGACGTACCTGAATGTCGGAATTAGGTTCGACATTGTGACACGTACAGTGGCTGCTACAGCTCTATTAAAATGTGAGCATAAAAAAGAACAGTTGCTTCTCAATTGAAAAATCTATGGTTGGCATTCCTGTAGCAGTATATACCTATAACTTCTATTTCCATATTCGCTAACGCTCATAATTCTTGGCAAAACCTGTGAAGTCTCCAATGGATGTGAACCGTCTCTTCAGAGTAAATTCGTGTCCGCAATGGAACGTATAATAAATTAACGTGATGAATGTGGGTCAATAACCGAACTGGCACAAGAGTAAGAAGTGGCTTTGTCCCTAGCGCTGCTGGTGTCGGGCCTCCTCGCCAAGAAGCTGTCGTACTCGCCGTACTCGATGAAGCGCGCGCTGGAGAACGGGGCCACGTTCCTGGCCCACGTCGAGCCTTGGGCGCAGGGCGGGGGCCTCATCAACGTCGAGAAGGTTGGTTGGCCGACGTTGCTCGAGCACTTATTGTTTAGACACATCGAGTATATAACCAGAAATAGACACGAAATGTCATTTAATTTGTTTGAAAACTATTCTGCCATATCATTACTGTGACAACTGCGCTCCGATTGGCCAGCCCGAGTTCGAAACAATTGACGGGTGTCGTCAGTTGTTTCACTTCAAATCGACCAGTTAACTTGAGCTTTGCTATAGTGGACGAGAATTGCAAAATTACATATTTAATATTTAATTACCAATGAAATGTGATTCCGTTTGTTTTGTAATTAGATGTTTTGCTGTTTTTCCTACACCACCGAATAGAACAGCACGGCATTGTTAGAGATATTATCTTTATTATAATAAATACAGAATATATTTGGAATATACGGAGAAGTACACACAGGTCAAGTGGCCTGCCTATATTTCAGTGCAAACGAGAGTTGATATTTATAAGAGCTGTATCGCTAATGTGTTACCAGGAATATATGGCCCTTATTTCGTCTCTAATCTTTAGACACCACGAGCCTTCAGTTCGGTTGAGGATTTTTACTTCTTTTTCTTTGTTTTCCGTCATGTTACGAGTAAATACACATACCGGTACATTTAACGGTACAAAAAAAGAAAAAGAAAGCGTTGATATTTAAATAAATAATTCGACACAAAGTAGCAATTACATTAACATTTTTTTTCACGTCTCGGTTCTTAGGTTTTCGCAATTGTTACACATAGGAAATGAAACAATTTATTCGAATTTAAATCGTGTCTATTTGTTTTTCAAATTCTGACCGTCAGCTCTGACCATGGGACAGGTCCCATCAGGGATTATCAGGGATAAGGGCTCGAAACGTTGATTTGTTTGAAAAAACAAATATACACGATTTAGATCTGAAGAAATAGTTTTAATATCCTATCTTTTAACATCGCCTTACTCAACCTTTATTGAAAAATTGGTAATTAAACAAAGTAAATTTTTTTAGATTTTGTGATAAAGCAGTAACGGTTGAAAATTGAAACACTGTAACAGTTTAACATTGATTTTGATTATCTTAAATTTTTATCTTTTTTAATATTTAATCATTTGTAATCATCAATAATCTCGATGATTTATCATTATCATAGATTATTAAATAACAAATCTTTTCTAGTTACCGAAATTTACAACGTAAACTCAACCTCCAAACCTGTATAAGCAATTAAAATAAATGAATGAAAAACAATTACAGTCGACCAATTTTTTATTTTTAAAAAAGGCCTTTATTAAAAAAGTAAAATAACCTAATGCGGATTTTACTGGTGTTCCGTTTTACACTATTGCTACAGGGAGAATCATATTTACCGTTGAAATAAGTATTCATATGAATTTATTTGCATTTCATATAGATGGTACAAGTTAATAAAACCTGCAGTAGAGTACATACACGGACGTAGCAAAATTACACTTACGAGAGATGATCCAAAAGTAATGATAACCATTGAAAACAAGTGTTGTGTTTCAAAAGCATTTATGTTTTTCATCGTAATCTCCTCTACAGTCAATACATTTAGTCCATCTTTTTTCCTGACCCTCTTTTACAAAAAAAATATTTTGCTTGTCTCTCCAAAAATTCATTTGCAGCGGCCATCAATTCGCTATATTCTATTAAATTTCCTTCCCCTGAGCTGTTCTTTGAGCCAAGGAAAGAAGTAAAGGTCACTGGATGCTAGATTTGGAGAATAGAGCAGATGTTCGAGCAGTTCGAACCCTGCTTCTTGAATGGCAGCCTTCGCAACTTCAGCTTTGTGTGCGGGTGAGTTGTCTTGGTAAAACAACACTCCTGCTCGCAGTTTACACCGCCTTTTTTCTTTAATAGCGTTCCGCAATCTTTTTAATTGGTCTGCGTAGTAAGAGCCCGTAATAGTGGCTCCCTTTTCCAAAAACGGTACCCAATAATTCCTTCAACATCCCGAAAAATAGACGCGATAACCTTTCCGGCCGAGCTCGACTCTAGATTTCTCCGGTGTCGGTGACGATGGTCGTTTCCAAGTCGCAGACTCTTGTTTCGTTTCAGGGTCAAAGTAACGGATCCAGGTTGGAACTTTCAAGATTCGCCCTTGAAATGTCAACCCGTATTTTCTTTTGCGCCTCAGTTAACATTCGCGGTATCCAACGTGCAGAGACCGTTGTCGCATTTCTTTGGTGAGAATTCTTTGAATGCTGCCTTATGAGATCTCTGTGAGCTCAACTAGATGCCTGATGGTCACTCTTCGGTCTGTTAAAACAACATCTGGGACTTTTTTAATGTTGTCCTCGGTGAGGGACGTGGTTGGGCGGCCTTTGCGATGTTCATCTTCCGTGGATGTTCTGCCCAGGTTGCTCTTTGCACCAACGTGCGACTGTAAAATATGGAGGAGCAGAAGCTCCCAATGTTTCCACCAAATCGGCGTATACGTCATTGGTAGACATTTTTTTCAAGCAAAAGTACTTTACCACAGGCCTTATTTCGTTTTTCTCCATTTCCGTGTTATCTCGTCAACTGCTCGTATTCAAATGATATATCTTCCATAAATGATGACCCATTCAAATGATTTTTTAACGCTCATCTATTTGGGTACTTGTATACAAAATCAGTTTTTTTTTCGATTTTTATGAGTAGTACAAATACCCGATTATCATTATTTTTGGATCACCTCTCGTATAATTGAATCTATAAGCGCAAAAGTGGTGTAACCAACATCTATTTATTTCTACAATATTACTTAAAATGATGCTAATCTACTATATTCTATATTCAAGAATAAATAAAAATCATAATTATATAATGGTCATATAATATGATTACTATATTATATAAAATGAATTTGGTTAATTTGAAATCCCTCATTCATTTAAATTCACCTTATAGTTGATACACTTATAGAAGTATGCATTTCATTGGGTTATACCACTTTTGCACTGATAGACTTTAATTTAAATACATTTTAAACTTGATTTACATTATTGTTTTTATATTTATTATACATTTATACGTTCTCATATTTGTACATAACACATTTATACATTTATCTTTAAGAATAAGGTAATTGTAACTAGAAAGCCAATTATAACACAAATTTCCCAGAGCTTCGACCTCCTAACAACATATCCAGACGAGGTGGATCGTGACGTTACATACTCGATACAATGTGGGACTCAACACGAAAAGGGTATTTTCCTCCGGCCGAGAGAAGGCGATCCACCCAAAGACATCAACATCACTGTAGAACCACAATTCTTGCAAAGCCACGATGACATGGAAGGTTCGTATTTATTTCGTTCGTATTTACTTATTGCAAATATTTTAGTAGTATAGAGATATCTTGTTGTTTCTCCCGCACCCGTAGAGTTAAGCCATATTATGTTGAAGAGTAAATGTCATAATAATAGACAAGTTTTTATTTGGTGAGAGTCGAACGGCACTTTGAATGTCCGTATTGATTTTAAATGTACATAAAATAACGGTGTTTATTTTAAACGAAGTGAAGTTTAAAGAAATAACTTTTAAGTGGTAGAGCTAAAAAAAAACACGAATACTAACAACTTTACTATACGAATAAAGCATTAGTTATAATTCTTTATAAACTATAACAAGTAAGGCTCGATATTAAGTGCTTGTCGGACGAGATCAGAAAGATCTAAAAATCCGGCAGTATATTATAGTCTGTCTTTTTCGACGACGGAGTAAAGTGATAGGTCATTGCGCAAAAGTGTTGCCCGCTTGCGAGTAGCTAGTGATTGCAGTCGATAAATATTCTATCGACTATCGACTATCGATATTGGTCACGCTTATGGAATAAATAACCGAACTTGTTTCATTTGAATCATCCTCGATCCATTATTTATTCTATTACTGAGCCCAAGTTCATATGAATTGTCAATTTTTGTAAGTTCATACACACATACTCTGTATTTAGAACTATATTTATGAAAAATATGAAGTGGAGACGTATTTTAAAGTTTTTCATTTTAATTACATATAGATTATCATAGTCTTCTGTTCTTGTTAAAATATATGTGAATAAAAATTGATCTCGATACTAACAGGTCGACTGTCAAAATAAGAATAAAGAAGGCAACATCGCAATTAGTAATCATGAGTCGTAACATTCACAGTTCAGTCATTCTTGGCAAAATTTGTGTTCTTTCACAATCTATCGATAAAACTATCGCCAACAACTACGTAACTATTTAAAATTTTGTGTAAATTGGCAACTCTACAAATGTCATTTTACACCGTTTTAAAAAAGACAGACATGTAGTTGATACCATCTCAAGTGACCAAGACTTCTATGATGAGGACTTAATAATTAAAGGAAGTCGAAGCTTAAATGCTGTAATGTTTATTATCAAGCGGAAATATCAACAATTCTATCAAATGGTTCGTAACCGTTGATGTGAACTTGATTGATATTTAATCATATTTTTTAATAATTAATTGATTTTAGTAAGATCTTAATACGGATCTGGAACTTGAGATGTATTATTTTTTTTTTAAATATTCAGCTTTATTTCGTTTTAATTATCCAGTTTAATTATATTTGATAAATCAAATAATGATAAAAATTGTAATGAAAAACGTGTTACTAAACCTTTTTATAACTTGAATAATAACAAAGAGGGATTATCAGAAGTTTTTCATAAAATGGTGATATCTGTTTGGCATGAACATTCGAAGTGTCGCTTCGTTTCCGAAATTGATTTTTTGTTCTAATCTCTCTTAGACGGAAACAGAGTTCGCCTTCGGATGTTCGTGCTTGTGTTCATTGTTGTTTACTTTCCTTCCCTATCGTGTTTTGAATCATTGTACCAGCAAGTGTTGACACCTGTTTCCGTCCATAGGAGAGCGAAAGAAGTGCGTCGGGACACAAATTTTACGACTCCATAGTTTGAGTAAAAACGAAGTTAATCATGGTTAGTTTTTGCTAAAAGTAGAATTTGTTGGTAGCTTAGGCCTTTAAGTACGAAATTAGTAGTTTAGGCACCGTCGCGACTCGTCGTTTAATTAACAGTTTATTGGCTTCATTATAGATCCAGAACACTATATTTAGAGTTAAAATTTGTAATTTCAACACTAACGTTATATGGCATCGTCTTGGTACACGTTTTTCTAGCAGGATATCTGAATTTTTACGACGGATTCTACGTTTCGTAAATGTCTGTAGAAAGAAAGAAAAAATCGTTTATTTGTTGAATTGAGTACTATACACACACTTAAATCTAGTACGTAAAAAGAACAAGTGACTGAGTAATTTTGAGCTAGTAAGTGTGCATAGAAGAGGCTTGTGCCAATGTGCTAGCCTCGTTGGGCTCAATTCACATTGTCGTGGGATGGAATTTTTGTAACTACGGCACAATGAACTTTATGAGAGATCTCAGTCTCGGGAATTTCCGCGGTGCTCGTATCGCGTCTAGCGTGTACGTCAAACGCATTACGCTGTGTAGAATTTCGTTAGAAACACTTGGTGCGCAAATCGAGCCTTAGAGCGCAAAGTGCAACGGCGCGTGGTTGCAGACAAGGGCGTGATCCCGAAGCAGATCGCGTTCAACGTGCGGCTGGCGCTGAGCTGCGGCGCGGCCTGGGTGTCGGCGCCCGCCTTCCTGGACATGATGAACGTGTCGCGGCCGCTGACGGTGCGCGTGGACACGACGGCGCTGCCGCCCGGCGCGCACTTCGCCAGGTAGGACGGCGGCGCCGCGGCCGACCGCGCCCCCGCCGCCCGCCCCGCTGACCGCCGCCCTTCCGCAGCATCGGCGCCTTCGACGTGGCCTGCCTGGACAAGGGCCCGGTGTTCCGCATCCCCGTGACGGTGCTGCAGCCCGCGCCGCTGCGCCTGGCCGCGCCCGGCTGCCCGCAGCTGGCGGAGCGCGGCGCGCACTTCGCGCCCGGCGCCATCCGGAGGCACTTCGTCGTCGGTCAGTGGAAGCCCGCCCCGCCCCCGCCGCCCACCCCCGCCGCCCGACTAACGCGCCCTCGCCCCGCAGCGCCGCAGGAGGCCACCTGGGGAGTCCTCCGGATGACCACCGAGGACAAGGAGACGACCGGCCGCTTCCTGGTCCACGCGATGCAGATCCTGCCCAAGAAGAGCTGCCGCTGCCACGAGACGCAGAAGCTGCTCAACGTCAACGCCGAGGCGCCGACCGTTCTGCCCTTCCAGATCACCGTGAGTGGAGACTGGAACTCGATCGATTAAGCGTCACCGAGTAAAGTAAAACCCGCAATGGTGACACTGTACATTCGTTCTTCTATTTTCGCAGTCAGTTATGTTAAACGTTACAAGTTTTCGTTACACCTACGATATAAACTGTTACAATACACTCCCTACAGAAAACGTTGTGGCAGCTAGCCTCGAAACTATACTAACGATTAAATAAGCATAGACACAAAATAACCCAAGTGTTCATGTTATATAACGAAGCGTTCGTTCCGAAGGGCGGCGTGACCCTGGAGGTGGTTATCGCCAAGTACTGGGCCAACCTGGGCGACCTCACCGTGGACTACAGCATTGAATTCCACGGGCTGAAGCCCGACTGCGGCGCCAAGCTGGTGATGTCGGCGGCCGACGGCATCCGCAGCGTGCTGCTGCGCTCGCTGCGCCTGCAGGACGTGGCGCCCAGCGCGCAGCTCAAGTACGCCGAGCCCGTCGTCAGGTCAGTCGTAATGAACAACCCCCCGTTTAGGGCTGAACGCACGGGATAGCAAGCTCGTGGAGTGTGAAGTGGGCGGTGCCTTGTACATCGTTATGATACATCTGTCTCTTTCTCTGTTAAGCCGAACGTGTCCTTCACTGAGTAAATCAAAAATACTTTGAGTGAATTATAGTTTATTGTTTTGTTTTATGTTGTCGAAATAATAGCAATAATAAAAATGTATCAGGTGAAGGCGTTTCATATCATCGGTAAGTGTTATTTTCACCAAATTAAACAAACTGTTAAATATTTAATCATTTTGTGCTATTACAACCAATAAAAAAGTTATATTGCATCGATAGTCAAATATTATTTATGATTTGATAGACCGAGACCTAGAATGTTCCACATAATCCTTTGCTACTCGAATATTGTTGAAGTGTGTCCGTAACTGCGTAGATGTCAAGCGAACAAAAGTTAACGTTCATAGGATTTCGCGTTTTAAGTCTGTTCCATAAGAATATTAAATAATTGTGTAATTTAGTGTTGATTAACGTAATTCCTAAGCCAAGCAGTTAATTGTTTGGCTTAAGAATTCCATTGGTCAACACTACATAATTACATTTGATGCATAGGAAGACTCACATGATGCTATTAGTGTGTTCTGTGACCTTTCCAAAGCTTTTGATTGTGTGCATCGTGATACTCTGGTCAGGAAACTTCGCCATTATGGTTTGGTGGACCTTGACCTCGACCTCCTCAAAATCACATTGGAGTGGGAGGGTACAAAGGGTCGATGTCAATGGTACGAGATCATCAGTGTCTGCAATTAGCATGGGCGTCTCTCAAGGTTCAATTCTAGATCCATTTTCGTTTTTATTTTATATTAACGACTTACCTAGCCTCGTGGAGGGTATAGAACGTAAGATAGTATTATTTGCTGATGATATTTCCGTATTATTTAATGTTAAAAGGCACCAATGTTCCTATGACGATGTGAACAATGCTATATCTAAAGTACTAAACTGATTTGTAGTTAATTACTTGTTCGCTTCTTAATGAGTAAAAAAACAAATTGCGTGAAATTTACATTATCCAATGTTAGACAGACGGATGCAATCATTATAGTTACGAACGAAACATTGCACCTTACCGATACAGTTGTGCTTCTAGGCATAACTTTAGATGCTAAATTACAACGGGCTTTAAACATAAATAAGTTATCAAAACGTTTAGCTCTGCAGTGTACGCGATAATAAATACGAAAACGTTCAGACGTCGAAACAGCTAGATTAGTTTACTTCCGTTACTTTCACAGTTTAATGACATACGGCATTTTGCTTTGTAATGCCGTCAATATTAATAGAATCTTTGTCCTGCAGAAACGTGCGGTTAGGGCAATTTATAATCAGGGCGCCAGAGTGTCTTTGAGAGATAAGTTTAAAGATAATATATTAACATTCTTACACTAACGTCACAGTACATTTATGAAAATAGTTTGTTATTCCGTGGCTGAACGTGAAATCGTATAGAGCCATCCAGCATCTTTTGCGACAACTACAAAATAATCATAATTAGTAATAGTAACTAAAATTGTATTAGATAAATTCGTTACACAACCACTTACGATATAATGAAAGACGAGATTTAGTGCGCTAGAAACTGCCATTAATGTCAATTTTTGAATTCTATGTCAAAATGACAAATGTCAAACAATTTTAAACGACGCGGCGCAGACCGCGTCATAATTGTGTTAAGAAATTATGGAGCATTTAATTGTCACTTTGCTAGCGAAGGCAGTGCCTATTCGAAGTGCACATCACTGACAACAGAGAACGCTACACAAAGGATAATGGCAATCTCCCATATAAATTTTTGTTGACATCATTTGTATGCGTCTGTTTATGAAAAATATATGAAAATATAGAGTTGAAATTCCAGAACAAATTTTGTTTTGGGTTTACTATTCTGAGAATTAGTCAGGATAAATCCATGTTTCGCCACCTGTTACTATGTCCCACACCAAATTTGACGCCCCTTCATTGAATCTGGTAAGCAGTTTGAAGCCGAGCGAAGCTCTACTGAGCTGTTAAATTACACTTAAAGTCGTAAAAAATCATACAACGAAAATTTTCACGAAATCCATGGTGATGTAGACAACCAATTTCTAAAATGACGCCACAATGTAAAAACAAATGACAGTCAGATGAAACAAACTGTGTTCTACAACCAAAGAGTTCCATTTTCAAATGTTGTAATTACTTTTGAATATTGTTTATGTAAGTGGCCAGTTCCGGAAACTTTTAGTGCGCCCCATGTATTTATATCAAAATAAACTACAGAAGCCTTAAACAGTCAAAAGGCATGAAGTTAAGCCATAACAAAAGAAGTTAATTAATAACGTACCACAGACTATTGCACTGGTAACTCGGACACAAATTATTTTTTTTGTGAATCGCCATTGCCTATCTATCACTGATTTTGGGAACTTTCTTGTCAGTTTTACCATTTTCTCGCGTGGCATTTTGGAGAAGAAATTATCGACTTTACTTCTTGTAATGAAGTAGTTAGTCTTTTATTAGCTTATTACAAATTGGTCGAATACATTTCATATTACGTGAACTAAATGTGGACCATTTCCTTTTTTGGCGGCTAGATGTCGCTCAACGTTAAGAAAATAAAAAAACTGATAGTTGTAGATCATTAATTGAAATTGTAATTAAAATATGAAGACGCTAATGAATTCTTTTAACTATGAAATTGCCATACGTTGTTTAACTGAACCGAGCCTACTTGAACAAAGCCCGTGTGCAGGCCGTCGGAGTCGAAGCTGGCGCCGCTGACACCGCGCGATGTGATACCCCCAGCGCGCCAGATCTACCAGCTGCTCAACACCTACAACTTCCACATCGCCAAGGCCACCGAGGTAAGCTTTCCTTCTTTCAAAGTATTATACCTGGACTTGCACACTCATTGCTGGATTTGCCCAACCTCAGGGATATTAACATTTTTTTCAAACATAATTGGTTTCGAATTCGAAACTACACCCGGACCACGGAGGTCGTCTTCCCTTTTTTACTTACTGGACGCGCTACTTGTACACTTGATCGGTTTATACGATCAATTGTACATACCAGTTTTTTTCCAATGATCTTTCGAATTCGTTGTAATTTTATTAATGTTTTCACCCTTTGCGCATTTAAGTAAAATTCATTTACTTAAATGGGTATAGGGTGAATATGCCCAATGAAATGTGTTGAAAGTAAATGGCCTTTGAGAGGGCGAGAGGTTCACCCGAGTGAATTGTGCAGGTGTCGCCGATCGTGTCACTGCTGTGCGACGTGCTATACGAGTCGGAATTCGAAGCGCAGATGTGGATGCTGTACAACAGTTGCAAGCAGCTTGTGGCCGTGGGTGACGCTTTCCCCTCCAAGGTGAATTCAAACTCGTATTTAACTGTAAAATAGACGCTATACA